TTCCCCATGAAAGTCCATCTCCATTCCTTCCATTGCTTTCCTCAGGCCCATCTTCTCCACAATTAGCTGCATGAAGCAAATGATCTATGTACGTAGTTGTTTGAGCCTGTTGGATCCTCAGCAAGTCAAAAACAGAACAGAAAACTCTTGTCAGGGGCCAGGCTACCAATTACATCACATGACTGACCTTATCGGCTAGGCTAGTCAGCTCAAATTACCCACGAAGGCCCACACCCCCCTCCTATTTCTCCTTCTCACCTTCCCAAACTTTTCCTTTCGGAATCTGCATTCTTAGCCCTTCCTGGTCCTTTTTACCTGGGCCTGCCCATTCTTTCAGGGCCTCCACTGAGGCCCTGTCCTGTTTCTTTGGGGTTTGCAGCTGGATACCCAGAACTAGGCCCTTTCAGCCATTGTATGTAACTGTCTCTCGAACTCCCTTCCCTGGCCTAGGGGTGGCCATCTAATTTGCAGACTCTAAGCACTGCATTAAAAGTAAACTAAATTATGAGAATAATATTTGCCAATGAGCAGCCATATAATAAATGTAACAAAAACTTTGTGTATTGGAAGATAACCAGGGCAGAGGGGTGGGATGAGGGGGCTGGTCTTTTGTGTGTTTATGGTCTATTATTCCCTGCCTGATTCTGTGCCTTATTTTCTATCACCTTAATTGAATTTTTGTAATTGTTTTTAATTACTGAGTATTTTTATTCATACTTGATATCTTTTTAGCCTCTTTGAGTGATTTTATTTATTTACAGAAAAGTCGATAATTTGAAACAAATTAACTAACAGGTTAGTATGTTATTATTTCTACCTAAAGAAGTAGTAGTAGTAGTAGTAGTAGTAGTAGTAGTCTTGGAATAGTTTTTAACAAGAACAACAAAATATTGAGTGCCTTTCCTTGTCTAAAAAGCAATTACTAAGGAATCCTGCACATTTACTCCTGAGCATCTTACCCACCTAAGAAATTCAGTGCATTCCTTGGCCATTTCAATAAAGGATATTCTTCCTCATTATAGAAGGAGGAAGGACACAGTGAAGTGATACAGAGCCAAAGAGACGTTCACAAGCATCTGGTGCCATGCTGAGGGCAGAAAGTGGTGGAACAGAAACCAGATTGCAGCAACATAATTTACTGCTCTTTGGTAGAACAAAATATGTCTGTTTAAACATGGATCCCTCTGTAAGGCCTGTAGTAAACGTTCTTGCAAAGGTGTCCTTGTTTCCTTGGCCCTCTGAGCTGTTCCACACAGCTCCTTGCAGGTCCCTTACCTATTGTCAGATGAGAAGTGGCCTACCAGAGGTACTTGCAGCAAACACAGCTCACTTCGGAAACACTCAAGATACCCTCATTCCAGCAATGCCCTTTAAAAAAAACAGACTCCTATTGGGCAGACTGAGAACAAGTGAAGTGCAGCTAACAACTGTCACGGATGTAAAAGCGGTGGCATCTTGTTCAGAGGCCAGAAACCTCCTGCCACACCAGTTTGCACTTCAAGCCCTTTCTGTGTCAGCCTTTGGGAAGAGAGCAAAGGGGCAAGATGTGGCCTTGCAAACCAATGGGCTTCCGACCATGACAGACGCTTCTGCACAGCATTAGGTTAATCAGTTAAAGGGATGCGGCAGCTCCCGGCCACGTTCTGCACAAGGAGAACTGGGGGAGGGAGCAGCAGACAGCAGCCGCTGCCTTTGTATGTTTCTATGCATGTCTGTGTGGTGGGGAGAGCAGTGTGGCATCCATGAAAACATCTGTTCTTACAAAGAAAACAAAGAGAGGATAAGGGCAAGACGTAGCCCCTGAAACCCATTATCTCCTCCTGTTCCCTCAGTGTGTGGACAACTCAGACATTGAGCTTAATGGCCCAGAAACTAACAGAGGGTGGGAAACCCTCCAGCATCAATCAATAGGAAGCAAAGGCCAAAATGGCCCAAAGACAATATCAACTCTCCCGAAATGGTCTGGCCCCATACAGCTCCACTGTGCTTCCTCCCTTCTCCCACTGTAACCCCCAAAGTAAAGGCTATCATACCTATACCTTACTGCTCAGACATCTAGTAAGAATTGGGGTGGGGTGGGGGCATTCAACAGGTTGCCAGTGTAACACCCTACTTCACAATCATAACAAGACCTCTGCCATCCTTTGATTGACTTGAGAGTTTGTGGGTTAGCCGGAAGGGGGAAGAAAGAAGGCCAGGCACTTTTCTTGCACACACAAAATGCCATTGCTATGCTAGCTAGGCACCAGCCGCTGTCCACACATCTTTCGCTTTTGAGTGGAGAAGGTATATAGGTGACAGTGGTAAGGACAAGATAAGGTTATGGAGGCCACAAAAAGCTGTTGTGAGGTTGCCCCATACTGCCCGCATGAAGATGACTATGAGTAGCCCAGCCTAAGCAGCTTTTGTTTACAACTGCAGTCATGCCCCGCTTAATGATTGCCCTGCATTACGACGAATCTGCTTTATGTTTTTGCGATCGCAAAACGATGGTCTAAATGGGGGAATTTTGCTTAGTGATGATCGGTTCCCTGCTTCAGGAACCGATTTTCGCTTTATGACGATCAAAAACAGCTGATCGTCGGGTTTTCAATATGGCTGCCGGGTGCTTAAAATGGCTCCCCGCTGTGCTTAGGGATGGATTCCTCGCTATACAGGCACCAAAAATGGCCGCCATATGGAGGAACTTCGCTGGACGGTGAGTTTTTAGCCCATTGGAACGCATTGAGGGGTTTTCAATGCATTTCAATGGGCTTTTAAATTTCACTTTATGATGTTTTCGCTTAACAGCAATTTTCCTGGAACGGATTATCGTCATTAAGCGAGGCACCACTGTAATGGCACCTACTGTAAGTATCTTGGATTACAAAGGCTACCAAAATATGGCTGAAAGGGGCAAATAGTCCTTGACATATCTACACATAGAGGCAATGGCCAAGAGTAGGTGATGGGGGGGCATGACCATTAGACAATTAGCTTCCCTTCCCCCATTGCTGGACCCCGTAATTATTGGAAGAAAAGAGTTTTCCCATTTGAATTATAGTTTATTCATAAACACAAATCTTCCACTTCTCTGGCAGGTTAAACTGGTCTCAGCATTGGTCAGCAACATATGAAAACACTCCGCTTCCATCAAACCCTTCATTATATTGTTGGGCCTTTGTATTACAGCAAAATGGACAACATTTATTGGATTTTTTTGATATTGACTGCTTGTGGTGCATGTTTACTGTTTTTATAGAATGCATGGAAAGTCACCCTGGGATTGTTCTATGAGGAAGGCTGAAACACACATTTTATAAATAAATTTTAAAAGGCCACAAGAAATACTGTGTTGCTGAATCAGTCTCAAGGCCTGTCCAGTCCAGTACGATGTTCCCAATTAGATGGCCATAAGAAGTCCAGAGGCAGGAGAAAAAGGCAGTTGCACTCTTCTTTTATATTAAGAGAAGGCTGCTGTCCTAAACAGCACTTCCATAAGAGTTAATTCCATCAAAATCAACAGGGTTTACTTCAGAGAAAATAAGATTTTGAGTTAACATCCGATTTCAGAAATCCCATAGGTACAACAAACCTCTCCTACATTGAAGTCCACTCTGGCCCCTGTTGTGTCACTGTATATTTTTTTTCTGGTTCTGCTATGGTCCAGAATACAAACGTGCACATTCGCATATGCATATACACATGTAGATGGGCAGAAACACACTCACAAACACAGACACACTTTGCTGCTGTACTGATGGGAATTTTATGAGTATAAAGCCCATTTCTGCTCATCAGAGCGTATGTGAAGATGAAAATCTTCACTAGAAACATACAAACAATTTAATACCTTGCCTGTGTCAGTAAATTTCATAAGTCTACTGGGATATTACTCATTCACTCATTAAAAAATTATGTGCCCATATATATAAGATGCAAGAGAGAACGATATCATTTCAAAAATGTCCCAGTGCAGCCCTCAAGAGTCCCAGATGCAAGCCAAGGTTCAAAACCTTCCTTGTCAGCACCACTGAAGAGGCATAAACTGAACATCTTGCCATAAGGGTAAAAATCTCTGATGTTTAACCAGGTATCTTCTCATACCCCTTTTCTCTTCTAAGAATTAAAGACTTGCTCTCAAGCTGCAATTTCTTCCATTAAACTATTCCCACAGTGCACTGATGTCTTTAGAAATGGGCCTGCCAACAAGCGTAGACACCAGCCAGCCAAACACAATGCAAATATGTCACCCAACCAGAGCCCTGGCATTTTGTGCAATGGTCTTCCATATATGAAGCAGGCAGGCTTCCTTATCTTCCAGCCCCATTTCTTTTTACAGCAAGGACAGTAACAACAAAAGGTTGACTAGCAGAAGCCCAATCTAGAAATAGGGTCACTCCTCCCTCCCTAACATTAACAAGAATTTTGTCATCGACCACACTTAGATCTTTACTTTCCCATGCCAGTTCTGGATACCTGGTGGCCTTTCCCTGCCTTCTTTTCCCAAAGGCACCCTAAATCTAATGCCTGTTCCCCACCTGGGGTCTGGCAAATGGGGCTCACCGGCAAGAAGATGGATATGGAGAGAAGGCGCATCTCCTGCCCTTGGGGGCAACAGTGAGAGGACTCCTCCCAACGTCACCTGATAGCTTTTCATCTGAAATCGGAGGGGGGGAGGCAGTCGCCTTAGGCTCCTGCCCGGATCCTGATGGGGATTCCCTCTGAGATCCAAACAAGACCCCCCCCTCCGGTAGCCACCTCGCTCAACCACCGTCTGGAGACAGCAGCCGACGCCAACAGGGACGCCTGGGAACCGGGAAGCGAGCCCCTCATATTTGGCTAGCCAGTCATTTCCCGACCAGGTAGGAAGGCAGCTCAAGCCCCCCCCCCCCCCGCCCCAGCCCGTGCCTGCAAGAAGGGGGAAAGGGAAGAGTCCCGGCGTCAGCCTTAGGGACTACAAGCTTGAAAGGGGGGCGGGACCGTGCAGTCCACCTCCTTCACCCCGCCGGCGCGCTCACCTCCTCCATCTGCCTCCACGGCCCCTGCCCCAGCAGCAGAAGAAGAGGATGATGCCTGCTTTCCTGCCGATTCAAGAGGGGATCGCTGCCCTCTCTCATAGGAGTCCGCCTGCCACGGGGTGGGGTGGAGGGATGGCCTGATGAGACGGCAGTGGCAACGGCGGTGCCCTCACTCCAAACCCTCAAGCGCCTACCGGGCGCGTTTCTCAGCCAGATCCGCAGCCGAGCATCCCATAGGCAGAGTAAGCAGAGCGGCCGGCTCCAGCCTGGCTCCTCCCCGACTCCGGATTGGAGCCTGAGCGCGCCTTGGGTGGTGCCGCCTTTGCAACAGCTCCGGCCTGTTGCCCCAACGCCGCCCCCGCCTTCCAAGAGTGGAGGGAGCTGGGAGGTCATCGGGAGACCGCCGGGGCTCCTCGGAAGCTGGCGGATGCCGAAATCAAGCCTCCTGACGAAAAGCCCTGCCCAGTACTGTAGCCCCAAACGGCGGGGGCGGAAGCCCTTTGCACAGGCTCAGAAGCACTGTTGTTATGGCTGCCCCTTCACATTCTTCCAGTGCTTGACGGCTGGAATTTTCGGTGTGGGGTTTGGGTGATGCTTTGCCACAGCACAGACCTCACATTGCCTAGAGCTCTTCTGGTCAGTGTTTACACGTGTGTAGTCTTCAACGTTTCACAAATAAATACATGGGACATACTGGTACATCCTCAGTTATCCAACCATGTATGATTTTTGAGAAACCTGCTGCTTTCTCTCAGACATGATTTCAGGCTTTTCATTGGGCCTGGCGTATTATATTCATCAGGGTTGGTGGCAGACATTTTGTCACTCGAGGCGGATTACCAAATGCCATCCCTCACTCATCCAGGTCAAGGTGCATAGCACCAAAGCTTGAGAAATTATGTTGGCAAATGAGGCAAAAATGGCCCAAGCACTATCAAAATCCAAAAATAAAACATTAGACGACCAATACAGTAATTTAATGACCATTCATGGCACTCAAATTTGCTGTCTGAACTGGCCTGGATACTATGTAAAAGCAGGAAGATGCTTCTTGTTTTGGATAAATATGTGTAAGAATTGGAGGTGTTTTTTTTGTTGTTGTTGCACAACATGGGATCAATATCTGATGCCCTCCAGATGTTGTTCAGACAGCAGTTCCCAACAGTTCTGGCCCAAATTGCCAGTGGTGAGGAATTATGGAGGTTGCAGTCCACCAACACATAGGAGGGCACAGTTGTTCACCCCTGATTTAAAATATCCACCAGCAGCTGTTCGTGCACATTCATGTGCTCCAAAGGGAAATGGTGCAGCCACTGCATAAAATTTAACAGATCAGCACCCTGAGGACCTTAATGTACCTCACACTACGAAATTTTTAACAGGACACCTGTATAAGACCAAAATAAGAACAGTGAGTTCTACAATTGTTCTTGTAAAGATTGTTGTTTTTGACGGTGGTGAATTTTTTTTAAGAAAACAAACGGAAGTAGAAAACAAGAAACTCACCCTGGTAGTTTTAGGAGCAGCTGTGGCTCATAAAATGTGTGCATGTATATACTACAAGGCTGGCTAAATAGTTCAGTGTTTTAGGAATCTGGCTGCAGAGCAAGAGATTAGAAGTTCCAATTCCCCACTGTGCCTCCTGCGAATATAGCCAGCTTGTGTCTCCTTGGGCAAGCTGCACAGTCCCAGAGTGCTGGCAGAAGACGGGAAAGGTAAGCTACTTCTGAGTATTCTCTACCTAGAAAACCTTGAAAAGAATCACCATTAAATCAGCATTGACTTGATGGCATATGCTCAAACATACACTGCATGTAAAATGTGCATGAATTTTATCATATGTTTTAATGGGTTAATCAATCCGTTAATCAAATAAATCTACATTTAAGTTTGTGGGGGGGTAGTTATAAAGAAAAAGATGGTTCCTGCCTGTGTTGCAGCAGACAGTGTCTAACAGTATCCTTCCTCCCTTTTCTCTCAGATAGGAATAAATACTTCTCAGTTGGCACATGCCATTAAAAAAACTGATATTAAAAATAATCTAAAACATAGAACAACATCTGCATAATTTCAGTCAATCAACATATTTCAGAGTGAAGGGTGTAACTGTTTTCATTTGCTGTTGGCCCTGCCAGGCCACTATATCTTGAGATGGGTCATTGCAATAACCGGCATGCCAGGATCTGCCTGATACACCAGCATTCTGCCAGCATTATTTGCACACAGATCTGGTGTCAGGAATATTTAGGATTGTTCCTCAGGTAACTGAAACTGCATATCTACTCCGAAGTAAGTTCTATGGAGCTCACTATAACTTACCCATGGAAAACACTCTATTAGTACCGGTGAGTGACTAATCTTAGACCTTGGAGGCAAATCTGACCTTCTCAGGTTTTCCAGAGGACTACACCCTATTTCCTGTGACAACAGTATTTGCTCATTTCTCAATTTTCCCATTTTAATAAGTTGTGAAAGGCGTTGTTACTGGTAACAAAAGTTTTCAGCTAAAATGTGATGGTTATTTATTTGTTTGTTAGTTTGTTTTTTGTTTGTTTATACCCTGCATTTCTCTTTGGAAAGGACCCAGGGCAGCTTACGTCATTAAATGACAGTACGTAAAGCTAACAACAGAGAATAGATAACACGAAAAGTATCAAACAAATATCACAGGAAGAATGGGAAACCAAAACCAACACCAAAACACATTCAAAGTAGTAAAGTACAGCAGTCCAGCCATTTTGAGTCTCAATCTTTCCTTTTGAGTCCATTCATGACTGGAATGTAGCCCCCCCCCCGCAAGAATTTCTCTGAAGAGGAATTTGGCCCCCAGGCGGAAATAAATTCTTCACCCTTGGTGTATAGGATCACAACTAAAATGCGTACAGTGTCTGTCTGTCTGTTGTAGTCTACAGACATGTATGCCTAAATCTACTTGTGTTTTAAGATCTACAAAACTCTTCTTGTTCTGGAGAAATCTATATCATTCTGCCTTGTGAGCTGTATCACTGCTCGTAGAACACATGGAGTATTAGTAAGGAAGGACAGAAACAGATACAGACAACAACCAAAACTTTCACAACATTATAAATTAAGGCAGCACAAAAGTTTGTTGCCTGGTGGGTATATCATAGCTGGGAGCTGAGACACTATTATAGGTAGCTTCTAGTCATGTGGTGAACCATCAACATCCTTTCAACTGCACTGAAATATAGGAAGGGAGGTCTCCCCAGTTGAAGTTTTATTTACAAACTCACATGCTCTTTTTAGTTTGTGTGACTGAGTGGGACTTCTCTGGACTACGGCAATTGTCTGTCTATCCATCGCTAACCAATTGTTCCTTTCCAGTCTTTGATTTCAAAGAGCATCCACAAGATCAATGGGCATTTACCCTTGCTAGGTGCAATACTGTACTTTCAAATTTAGCACAGGGCAGATATTTGGGTTTACCCACAGAACTGAGAGTCTGCCCTTGTGGTCAGGGAGTGGTTGAATCCATGCAGCATATGTTGTTCTACTGTATCTTGTATAAGGATATCTGCCTTTCTTATCTAAGCACTTTCCTTTCTTCCCATTCTGGATGGGAGTACCTGAGAAAAATTTGACACCTCCTAGGTGGCACTATTAAGGAACTTACCCTGATAATAGCCAGCTACATTTATTCCATCATGCAGAAGCGACACAGCGTGTTGTGGCAGAATGCCAAGTCCTAAATATGGATTTGGCTGTTCTCTGGCACATGTTAGCTGTTGAATGTTTTATCTGCATTTTAGTGTGTTTTCATTTTGTACAGTATGCCAATAAAGGTTTCTGTCTGTCTGATTTCAAAGAGAGCCCTGCCACCCTCTGAGTTTTTTCTTTCCCTCTATTTAGTCTATTGGTGGCACTTGTTGTTCGCTGTTGCTGCAGTAAAAAGCAGGATACACAGGCATGTAATTTCAAGCAACTGTAAGTAAAGAATTTTTAAAATTTCTTTCTCCTTCAAATGTCTGAGATTGAGTTATTGAGATGTTATTTGTCAGTTAATGAGAAATTGGTTGACTTTTGAGAACTTGTAGTTATTCTTCTCTGTGGGTCTCTGCATTTCTACTGCATAGCAAAAAGAAGAAGAAGAATTTTACTTGAAATTCAAATCTCTGCAACACAGATTTCATATAAGAAAAAAAAAGACAAAAATATTGAGGCACCTTAAAGATTTCAGACTGCTTTCATAGCTATGACATTAACAGTGGTATTTCTATGTGCAGAGGCATACTGTATATGTATCTATCCATGTGTTTGTGCATGTGTGTGCATGCACAAACACACAGAGAGACACTGTTAGTATAGGTGACATGTGCTACAAAACCTGAAAAAAATTTTTTACCTCTCTGTTCTGTAGTGAAGCTGTTAACCAAGGGAACAGTGATCCACATGACCTTTTTAGTATCTCTTAGAACCACAAAATGCTACTGAATGAAAGGGACCCATACAGCAGTTGTGGCATTTTAATTGCATTGTCCGTGAGGCAATTCTCATTTCCTCCATGAAAGGCACCCACAAAGCCACAATCTGATGTAGCCAAGAGGACATCAATCTGACAGACTAGTGCTGGAGCAGTGGCTCCCATCCAAGGCCATTTCCTTCTGTAATCTGATACAGAGAAATTCTTTACAGTATTTTCTGCCTGACTTCTTCCTTGGCCTGGACAGGAGTGGAATCCTGGCAAAATGTTTCATGCATATGTGTCAATTTACAGTATAGTTTCAAAAGTAACTTTATGGGAAGTGCCAAACAAGAATAGACATGTATTCCATGTTGATCAGTGGGCTCAATATGGGAAAAACCTACTGTTTTGACAACTGCTGCTGATGCTGCTTCCTCTGGTTAGTAGTACCTAAAGGTGATCATTCCACATTGATACATATTCCCTGCGCCTCATAGTCACAGTCTAGGAATGCTGCATTTCAGCTGTCTACACATGGTTTGATATTGACAACTTTTCTCCTCTAGTCCCATCTCTTATGTAGAGTCCTCCTCTGACAATATCACCATCTTTTTCTCCACCGTTTACATTCCCTTTTATACTTTGCCCCTTCTCACCTTCTTAGTGTCCTGGTGTGTAAGTGAATAAGAACTACAGGTTTGGGAGACATGAGTTCACCAATATTGCATGTTGCAGCTAATTCAGTGTCTTTCCCCTCCTGCATCCCATGTGTAAGAACCAATATAGTGACAAAATAGTTTAACAGTATATTGGTCAAGTACAACACTTGAACCAGAGCAGTCGTTTCACTTAAAACCTCAGTTTTTTGAGCCACATATTTACCAAAAAATTTTGTTGTACATGCATTTCATGCTTCATTACATGTCTCTTGACTAAAGATTGTTTTTTAAAAAATTAAACAAAGATATAGGACTAAAGTGGCTTTGCAGTACATCAGTACAGTGCAAAGCATTTGAGTTATAATGGAGTAATTATTTCATTTAAAACACCATTTTTGAGAAATAGATTTTCAAAACTTTTCTGTTGTACACGTAGTTCATGCTTTTAATACACATAAGCTCTTATTTGAACAACCTTTAAAAATTTTATCAACCAAAATAGCACTGAAATGGTTTGTAATTATATCATTGCAGCACAAGTCCTGTTTAAACTGTCAACTGATGTAGTGCTGGAATCATTGTACATTGTAAAATAAAAGTGCAAAGAAAAGCAGCTGTTATTTTAGAAGCAGTGCAAACCAGTGGGAGGGAACAGGCAAAAGGTTTTGCCGCCATACGATGCCTCTCTGTGTACATTTTGATCTAGGTTCTTGAGACATGCCTAACAACATTCTGGAAGGACCAAAAAATGGTTAACAGAATACAGCTCTGAAAGAAAAAATGTGTGATGAAACAGCATTTTTTCCCCAAAAATTGAAAAGAAAATCAGATTTAGTATGGGGTGAACAAAATATACTGGATACTCCGAAAAAGATCAGGTCTACTCAGTATTAGGAATAAACGTTGTTTAGTTGTCAGAAAAAATGTTGACATGATCAATGAGGAACACAGAACAGATTGCAAGACATATGTCTCTGGGTTGCACCTCTAGAGTAACTGAAGTCCCACTTATAGTATTTGAACGGATCAAACTAAAATGTGATTATATCAGAATTCAACCTCTTATTGTTACTGCTACTTACAATCACTACTTCTACTACTACTGTTATAACCACTTCTGCTATTATTACTATGTAGCACTGTCAGCGTGCAGGGACATGAATAGACAGTGTGCTTGTTTAGAGAATACAAGCAGAAAGGTCTCTACTGCAATGGGCTGTATATGCAAAATTCTACACAGAGAAGCAAAAGAGGAAAGAAACGGGGAGGAAAATGGCATGGGTAAACTAGAAAAGGTGATTATTTCAATGATACCTGCTTTGGATTAGTCACAGAAATGGGAGGTTTGTGAGAAAGGCGTAATAGAAAAGGGGGGAGTTGGCAGAGGGATTTGGAGGAGGTAAGGGGTTGTTTACATTTTTAGTGGTCTTGTGTGGACTAAATAGGGATGCTTGGGGGTCAGGTAGAGGTTTGGTGTGCCGTTTGGTCCAGTTTCTTCTATTGTCAGTTTACCATACACTATTGTGAAGTGGCTTTAAAAGATACTAGTAAATTTAAACACTTCCTCTTTTGTGGAGGGACAGAGGATTTTTTAAGGACTACAAGGGCACTGCATCACTTTTCATTTCAGGTTTTTTTTTTTGGGGGGGGAAGCACATCCTCCCAGAAGAGGGAAGAGACAAGAGAGGGCAACAAAGATCATACCCCCATTTTTACTTGTCTTGCATAAATGGCCCATTGAGAAGCTGCCTGCAGCCTAATCCATTACTATGTAAGTCAAAATGACAGCAGAAGAAGCTTTGATACTGAAGGATTGCATTGGCTTGCTTCCAGACATAGCACATGGTAGAAACAAACCAAAATGGAATGATCCTACCCACACAAAAAAGCAGAAGCCCCTGACAAGGACCTAGAAAGGTGCAGGTAGGTGCATTCACCAGACAGGCTGGTCTGCTCCAACAATTACATTGTGTGAGTACTGGAAAAAGGAGCAACCCACCCCCACAGTGGACCAAACAGAGGGCTAAATGATAATATGATTGCACTCTAAGAGGAACAGTAGAGATGGGATGGGCAAGCTCAGCCCTGCTGACATTGCTGGGACAGGAAGACATGTGCCTTGAAGTTGAAATAATTTGGGGCCACTTGAAGACGTTGAAGAACTGGTTAAACTTGAAGGGGTTAAAGACTGAGTTTACAGTAAGATCTGCTAGCACTCGCCACACAGGGTGGAAGCACATGGGTATTTTTTTCTGATTTCTGCTTGGCTAAGTTGAATCCTTCTTATCAAGCATTTGGAATGATAAGCAGTGGATCAGTATCTAAGACACTCCCCTGTTAAAGGAAGAGAGCCATCCTGCCTGCCTGGAATTAACAGCAGCCTAGAAGTGCTTGGCTACAGGGACACAATCCCATCAGCACATCAAAGGCGTAGTGATGGTGGTGGTGGTGGTGCTGAGCACCTATTTCCTGCCTTCTTCCTGCAGCCTTTGAATGAGGTCACTAGAACTGGAGCAGGGGGAGGGGGCAAAGGGAAGGAAAGCAGAGGAATTGGTCTGGAGCACTGAGCAGTATTAATGAATTTCTTGTATCTTAAAACAAAAGCAATTTCCCCTGCCACAGGATTGCACCTATGTTTCCACCTCTGTTTGTAGGACAGGGCAGTGAGGGTGCTCATCTTTCCACTGGAGGTGGTAGGAAGCAACGGAAATGTGTAGTAGGTCTGCATGCACCCACCCTTACCTCCAGGTATTCAAGACTTCCTGAAGATCAGACATGCCAGGCATGAGCAAGTTTGATGCAGTGACGTTATATGAGTCAGATGTTACATTTATTAAAGTGTACATGGGGAAAGTACTTCTTTGTCTGGGCCAAACCCACCTTACTCACAGTGGTACCATGAACAATATTTGGGTCTCACAAAATTAATTGCCTGTTCCTGATCTCATGTCATTTTGAGAGCACAATGTAATTCTCATTCTGATTTCTCCTAGCTTCTCTCTATCACATTATTTCCTTGATGAAGGTTCTTAGGCAGACAAGACTTGCACTGCGTCAGAGACATTTTTGGCCTTTTAGCTTAGTCCTGCTTATACTGACTGGCTTTTCCTGCCCTAGTAGAAGAGCTTCTACATGTCAAGCATCTGCACTCTCATGGAGCTACAACTCCCCCACCCTGAGATGTTGAAAGTGATGGTCTGTCTTGCAGTTCCTAATTTGGGGGATATGGATAATATACGTGCATATTTCTATGTGCCAATTTCTCATTTGTCACACTAGTCATACCAGTGTGCCTTATATTTTGGCTTGCTTTGTTCTGTTTCTTGAATTTATATTTCAGCTTCTCTCCAAACGGAACTCACCAGGGACAGCCTCACCATTAGGTAGGATGAGATAACCGACTTAAGCAACAGAGAGAGCTGCAGCAAATCCCACCCCCACCCCTTTTGCTTCTGAGCCTCCTAACCACTCTGTTTTCTGAGACACAGTCTGCCTTTATACCTTCTAAACAGGCTTCCTGCCCCCAGATGCAGTGGAAGACTCTTAGCCTGTTGACATTGTTGAGGAAAGAATATTCAACAACCATTCCAGTCACCTTCTGTATATGACATGAGGCCACCATCCGGTCTTTATACAGGAAAATACTGTATCTCGAGTCTTTCTTAATTATCACCCCTTTGGTTTTATCTCCCAATAACAACCCTATGCAGTAGGCTAAAGTGCATCATCAGTTAGAGCTGAACACCCTTTCATTCTCGTCCTTTCACATAATTAAGACTGTTTTCAAAATACTGTATAAAGACAAAAGCCCACACCATCCCCCAAACTGTATGAAATATATGTCTGATATACAGTCACCTCTT